GCAACTTGGTCTTGTTGTCATGGCGACTTAGTAGAACCCACCTAAAGTAGTTGTCATGATTCCCAGCCTCAGACAGTGCACTTGGTACCTTCTCAAACATTTCGCCGGCATCGTAGTCGGCATCATCAGAACATTTGTCGAGAGATTGACTTTACTTGCCTCTTTTGACGAGTTCGTAGTTCGGACTAGGTGCGTTCTACATAGTCGCCCTGACAACAAGACCAAGTTACGACAACGAGGTCAATCCACTTGAGCAGAATTGTCTTTCTGTCGATTGTGAAAAGGTCGCCTTGGCGTTGGGATTCTTGATTTGGGCAAAGGACTTCCTTGGCGCACAGAAGCATGATTCCGACAAATCCGGGTTGTGGGTTTTTCCGCCACGGCGTGGCAACCATAACGCACCCAACGAACTCGTGTCTGGCTACGATCCTACCTACCGAAATCGTATCTCCTTACAGCTTATTCGAGATCTACCGACTTTGCGAGAATGTTGCGGAGACTGCCAGATGGATCGTGACTAAAAGAATAAAATGTGCCTCGTGCCCCAAGCGGCGGGACTCGAGCCTGGGGTGGAACTCGGGCAAAACGACTCAACTCAGCAGCTTCATGTGGCTTCGGTGTGTCGAGACTCTGCAACCAGTGGACACGAGACGTGATCTGTCTCATACTCCTGAAGACACAACTTCATCTTCTGGACGATCCGATCAACCAACTTGTGTCTGCCGACGACTGTTCGTCTTGAACACCACTCAACTGTCCCACCTAAAATATGACATTTTCTAAAACGGCCAACACCACAGCCATTTTCTCAGTCATACCTGACTTCAGTTGGTTGCCTTTCTCGAGGCAAAAATGCAAATTCTCCGAGTCGACTAAGAAGTGGGCATTCGTCAGCTTTTTCTGGGACTAATTCTTTTTACTAAGAGTGTTGTTGGCAAAATTATGCCCCAAGTCATGAGATGCATTAAAGAAGATTTCGACTTTGACTATATCGGCCAGTTTGTGCCTTCACATGTCTGTCTGTCTGTCTGTCTGTATGTGTGTTAGCCGGTGTGTTTGCCTTTGTGTGCGCATGTATGTGCCCGCGGAGTGGAATGCGAATGTTAAGACGATGTATCGGGGGCAAATGCCTTGAAATTGACATAATGATAGAACCACGCGATATAATCATTTGACAGAATACTTAGAGCTCTGACGTGGGAAGAGGAGAAAAATGGGCAACGAGAAGCAGCATAAAAAGGCGCAGGGAGGGATAGACGAACGGAGGCGAAGACAATGCCTAAGCTTGGATACTTCATTTGCCCATTAACTTCTAACATCTCATACCGGATAAACAAACTTTGCTTATACATACGTGCACACATACGGACACTCATAAGTAGGCACATATGCAAACAAAGACATCTACTTTATATATATATATATATATATAAATAAAGATGCATAAATAAATAAATAAATAAATATATATATATATACATTTATGCATATAGAAATAAATAAAAAAATAAAAAAATAAGAAAAATAAAAATGCATAAATATATATATATATATATATATAAATTTATGCATATACAAGTAACTAAATAATAAATAAAAATAAAAATAAATATGCATAAATGTATATATATATATATATATATTTATA